CAGAGACACCTGGACTGGTCTTAGACTGGTCTTGGTCCATCACAGAGACACCTGGACATGTTTGGTCCATCACAGAGACACCTGGACAGGTCTTGGTCTATCACAGAGACACCTGGACATGTTTGGTCCATCACAGAGACACCTGGACAGGTCTTGGTCCATCACAGAGACACCTGGACATGTTTGGTCCATCACAGAGACACCTGGACAGGTCTTGGTCCATCACAGAGACACCTGGACATATTTGGTCCATCACAGGGTCACCTGGACTTGTCTTAGACTGGTCTTGGTCCATCACAGAGACACCTGGACAGGTCTTGGTCCATCACAGGGTCACCTGGACTTGTCTTAGACTGGTCTTGGTCCATCACAGAGACACCTGGACATGTTTGGTCCATCACAGAGACACCTGGACAGGTCTTGGTCCATTACAGAGACACCTGGACATGTTAGGTCCATCACAAGGACACCTGGACATGTTAGGTCCATCACAGGAACATCTGGAAAGGACTTAGTCCATCACAGGGACACCTGGACAGGTCTTGGTCCATCACAGGGGCACCTGGACTGGTCTTGGTCCATCACAGAGACACCTGGACATGTTAGGTCCATCACAGGAACATCTGGAAAGGACTTAGTCCATCACAGGAACACCTGGAAAGGCCTTAGTCCATCACAGAGACACCTGGACTGGTCTTGGTCCATCACAGGGGCACCTGGACAGATCTTGGTCCATCGCAGACACCTGGACAGGTCTTGGTCCATCACAGGGGCACCTGGGCAGGTCTTAGTCCATCACAAAGACACCTGGACATGTTTGGTCCATCACAGGGACACCTGGACAGGTCTTGGTCCATCACAGGGGCACCTGGACAGGTCTTGGTCCATCACAGGGACACCTGGACAGATCTTGGTCCATCACAGACACCTGGACAGGTCTAATTAAATGAACTTGTAGGTGGTCTCTGGGGGGTTGTGTCAATAACTCCTGCAGATCTAAACTCCAGCTTGTTGGATTCTGAAGTTTCGAGCTCTAAACCACAAACTGTCTCCTACAGGTGTGAAAATAAGGAGTAAAGTGGGCGGAGCAACAAAAGGTCGTTGAGCTGGTCTGGGTCTGGGGTTGTCTTCAGATTCTTCCTCCTGAGCTTCCAACAGGAAACAAACCTTAAACTAAAGATTCAGCCCCCCTCCTCCACCTGAAGCCCTCAGAAAGCAGGAGCAGACAAACAAACCTCCCTCTGGAGCTGTTCTCTGATTCTTTTCACCTTCATGAAAGATTTTCTATTATTCATCAAAAGGGGCTTTCAAGCACCTCTCCCACCTCTCTTCCCAAATGAAACCCAAAGCTGTGACGGCTCTGCGCTCCTTTTATCTGGCAGAATAAAACAAAGCAGTCGCTCTAATAAAAGCCAGAACAAAAACATTCAATCTTGGGCTGGAAGCAGCGGAGAGGAAGAAAAAGATGCCTCTTCTGGATGGATGGAGCCAGACTTGGCCTGGGTTTCTGTCTCCTGGAACATCATCTGTGCTTTAATTCAGAGGACAGGAGTATTTGTGAACTCTTCCTGAACACAACGCCTCTCTCAGATGAGCAAACCTCTGTCTGATTCAATGATTCCTCTTCTGCCTAAAATTAGACTCAGCTGCAGGTAATTAGAGGAAAGAAATGATGAAAGTCTTACATTTGTCTCTGAGTGATGTGACCTTTTTCAAGCTGACTCAGTGGACCTTTTAGTCATGTGTTTTCAAAAATAGTAAAGCTGGTTATTTTCAGCACAGCCCTCAGGGGGACACTTATCACAATGGCCTCATTTTGCCAGCCGGGAACTTTTCTGTTTTCTCCTTGGTTCTGTTTGTGGGGRGATTATCTGATGCTCCTGTCGTTATATTAACAGCTCAGATAAAAACAGGGACAGCAGGAAAGATATACAGGTCAGAATGTGTAATTACTGTCTAAATACAACAAACAGTTTCAAACATTACAGGCACTTCCTCACAATCAAATGGGTCTTTGTCAGTTTTTATTCAGTTTTATTCTGACCTGAAGTCAACAAAAACACAACACATTCAATCGAGTCGATATTTATTCAACAAAATCAAAAAACTGGTTCCAGATTGTGATTTTACTTTAGGACTCTTCTGTTTGGCTCTCTAAAGCTAAATATCCCATCAGAAATTATAATATTTGAAATTTTAAGTAGCCATGTATGTTTCATTTGAATATATTCTGGGGATAAAAGGGGCAGACATTATAAGATTTATTCTTCTTCTGCTAACTTTCATTTTATTTAGATTTTTGACTTGTATATCTCTTGGTTTTTTTTATTGTATATAGTTATTTTTTTAATGAAATGAATCAATTTTTTGAACAGAATTGAATAGTTTTGACAGAGTCTATAAATTACTTGGGGAAAAAAACAAGTAAAAGTAAAAAAAACCTGAACAGAAAATGACTTTGGTAAAAATGAATTTCACTGATGAGAAAAATACTTAAGTAAAAGTCTCAAAACTGTTCATAAAATTTGCGAAAGTAAAAGTACTTTTACACAGTTTCTAAGAAATAAACTATAACTGAACCCCTTCACAGTGTTTGTTCACCCAGTGGGCAAACATGGAGCTGTTTCTGTCTTTAAACATTTCCAGACACTATCAGGGGCTTTTATTTTGTGGACTGGTGCGTCAGACAACTTCCTTTTGTTTCTTACCTTTAGTTTGGCACCTTTAAAAATGGCTTTTAAGGGATTTCAGGTGCGTTTGTTAAGGGTTAATCAAACTGGTTCCACTAAACCAAGTGGAGAAAATATTCTTGCCTCATATTTCCTCTGCTGGGTTTAGTGAAACCAGCTGACGTTGGTCGAGTAAATTCATGATGAGTTTGGACATATTTAATTTTGTAAAGAGTAACTAGATTTTAAAAATTACTTGGTAAAATTACAAGCCATCAAAAAACTGACTTAAGTACTGTAAGTAAATGTACTTAGTTACTATAAACCTCTGAGTTTTGATCATATGAAAATTGTAATTATCTATCTGTAGTTTACACCACTCCTGATCAAAATCTTAAGACCAGTGAAAAAAGTGCAATAATTTGCATTTTGCACTATTGGATCTTAAGAAGGTTCTAAGTAGAGCTTCACAATGTTAAAAGAAGAAATCAGTGCAAGAGACAAGAACTTTTGAGCAGGAATTTTCTGAAAACTGCATTTACACTCAAACATGATTTTTTCAGCTGATCAAAAGTTTAAGACCATAGCTCAAAAAAACCTGAAAAACCCCCAAAACAGAAACCAAAGTGTCAAAAAAAGGACTCAGTAATGAGTAGCTCCACCATTCTTGTTGATGACTTCAAACAATGGTTTAGGCTTGATGCCAGTGTTTCCAGGAGGCTAGTGGGAACGTTGCTCCAAGTGTTGAAGATGGCTTCACGAAGGCCATCCACTGTCTGGAAC